GATTACGATCGAATATTGTTATCTGTGAATTAGCTGAAGATATATAAGACATAATGATCGGTATGAAAATGGAACCTTGTGAGCATATACATATGTATATATCATCTTTGCTGTAAAATATATCCACATTCCTTTCTTAATAAAGAGGAAAGTTTTTCACTATCACCCAATTTTAACAGTATTTTAATTTAAGTCATTCTGTTTATCGAACACTCAAGATTTTGATCAGTTAGGTTACACAGGAATCATGAGAAAAAGCCACTTAATATGAATTCATTGAAGTATAGTTGTAATAGACATGGAAAAAAAAATGCTTAAACACACGATTGGATAACTAGTCGTTAAGTATCTTCAATTCAAATCAAAGAGGCGCTTTATTGTTGAACAGACTTCGAAAAAAACAAAATCCATCGCATATCTATGAACATAAAATTCAATGAAACTTAATGTTCAATAACAAATTTTATTGTAAGATTCCCTGCTTTTTTTTGTAAAACAACAGGAAATCAACACAATGAAAGTGAATTGCTAATTATGATACATCAGTGAAAAACTATCCAGTTCTACTTGTATTATTCACACTTGATACTCTTGTAAATTGACATTTTTTTTCATTCTGTATTATTTTAATGTGAACTTGATTGCAAAAAAAAACATTTGACATTTTTGAAAATTCTTCTCTTAATGAAACAAAAATTTTCATTCAAAACATTTACTTGTATTGATTGAAATCAAATACTACTTATTCGTTATTTACATGCATCTCATATGTTGAAGTTGTAGTGCATATTTTTTTCTGTTTTACTTCATGCAACCGATCGATCAAGTGTCGTTTTGTCGGCAATAAGATAAAGAGAAACAATACTATTTAAGATATAAACTATGGAATTCTTAAAAAAGAAAGCATAATGTGTTATACTTGTTGTATAATTATAGATCAAAAGAGAAAAACACCGGCTCAGTAAACTATAAGTTAAACTAGTCAGTCATTCAAAATTTTACTATAAGTTAGGAGGTACAATTCTGTACTGAGAAATTTTGCATGACTATATTGTCATTACAAATCTAGTTATCATTTATAATGAGTTATTCTTTCTTGTAATCTATGTTCCTTATCGTGTTTTTGTGTGAAATATTGCTGATTAAATTATTAAAATCAACTGTAGAAATTACATACTTAAGTAGTATAGATTGTTTTTTGATAAAATATATCTATTTTAACAGACTGAATGAAAGGAAATTAATGCTAACGAAATTCTATCACTGTTTCTGGGCAATAGAAATATTAGCAATAAAACACTGATATTGACAATAACTTTATTCAATAATTAAAAAAAAATTGAGCTATATTTTAAAAAATTAATCAAAATTCTAATGATAAAAACATTTTTGGTGGATTGCGCAAGCTAATGACAACACGAAAAGCAATCATAAATCTGATTATAACCATTGTTATTATCATTGTTATTAGTTGTATTCGCCTTCGTTGACAATGAAAAAAAATATACTTTTCAATTACAGTGATAGTTTATGGTTAAGAACAGGATAATAATAATAATAATAATAATAATAATAATAATAATAATAATAATGAGGAAAAAAACCTCAATTGATTTCATGAATGAATGATTGAATTATTTGGTGAATTCACTTAGCCGAAATGAACGAGCCGATAAAATCAATAAAGCCTCTATCTATTCTCTGCCTTTAAGCTTTCATTTCTAAACTATAAGACTGTAAATATAAATAATACTGTGTAGTTTTTTTGCTTTCTGAAAAATTAATTACTGTAAAGCATACAGATATCTATTAACTGTTTCATATTTACGTTCATTTGATCAATAGGAATTACTTTAAATGTCGCCGCTAACTAAATTTTTTCTCAATAGTCGGTTGAAACATCAAACAAACAAATATGTATGAAATATGCAGATATATATATATATATATATATATATATATATATAAAGGATGTATATGAGAAAAATGTTGTTTTGTGAAAATGTGACGTTTAGATTTGTCTATTATAAAAGGAATTGAGTGGAGGTCTAAATGATCTCTTGAATATATGTATATATTTATATTGTCTAGGGACTGAATTGATCATTCTACTTTTTTTTCATCGATTCACTGAGTAATTACAGTTTTTACATTTCAGTATTGAAATTCAATTACTGAATAGAAGAATGTGTTAAGATGGATTAACCATGACAAATTGTATGATATTTCTTGGTAGTATACTAAAAGTTTTATTAAAATTAATCATGCACAAGTCGATTATTATTATTATGTAATATATAAATATGTTTTTTAAAAATTTGTTATCAGTCATACATTTTTATTGTTGATTAAGGGGCAGAGTTTTGGAGCTTTGTGTTTATACACATTTGAAATCATCAATCAGTCATTGTTAGACCACCATTAGAAACCTGGAAGCACTGGACGGCCGTTTCGTCCTGGTATGGGACTCATCAGCAGTGCGCATCCACGACTCCTGCTCCTCGCAGGATTCGAACCCGGGACCTTCGGTATTGTGCGCGAACGCCTAACGTTCAATTTGATATTGCCTTTTAATTTTGATTTTTTTCAATAAATTGATAAATATTACTGTGACAATTATTATTATTATTATTGACATTTTGTATGACAAAAAGTTGTCCACTTTTTGGTAATGACAGAAAACTATTTCAAGTTTTTCATTAATACATAATGTGATTATCATTAACGGTGAAAATCAACAGCGCAAATTCATTGGATTATTTATTCAGTGTTTATGATATATTTCATGGCATATAACATAAATGAAGTTCATAAATGCTGCAAATGAATAACATGTATACGCAAAATAATAAAACAAACAGACAGATTATATATATCTATATATATACAAAGAAAGTGAGAGAGTGTAAGAGTTCAGTAAATAATCAGACATGATAATTGCACAGTCAAAATCATCAAAGTCTAGTTGAAAACTAATGATTTCGACATGCAAGTATGTTTTAATATAACGTTTACTGACTTAAAAAAAACATATTTTATTAATTAAAAAATAAACTATTTTATTTGTCTACTATAAAAATAATTTTACTTTTTCTAGTTTGAATTTTAGTAATCATTATGATAAAATTTAAATCAATAAAATTTTTCTTACTAGAGAATAAATATTTTACAGCATAATCATAATATTCAATTATCACAGTGAAATTGTTTATGTTATTACATTTGAATACGCACACACACACATTTAAATGTCTACAAATATTAAAACAAACATATGAAGTAATGCAGAACTCGGTGAAAATCTTTTAATACACTTTAATCTTTCACACATGAATATATAAAACTATTTATATTTTTCTGTTAGAAAATTAAAAAGGAATTTGAAGTTAAAATATAAATCTTATTATCTATTTGATCAGAAAGTTAACTGGTTTTTTTTAGCGTCTATAGCCCAATTAAATCAGTTACGTGATTGCTATTAAGAAAAGTCTTTTCTACACTTTCTTGTTAGTTACATTTTTAACAATAGCATATCTCAACCTATTAAAGCATGTCTATTCAATTATTCATTTAAATAAACTTTCAAAAATTCATTAAACGTTCATTTGTAGTAATGTTAATGTTCAATTATGATACTCACATCACTACTACTAGTAATGGTCAAAATGTTTCTATTTAATAAGACTAGGATGAAATGGATGCGACTTGTATCAAAATATTAGAGTATGAAATATCAGCAAATAGTCGATTAGATACTTTAATAAATAACAAGTTGGCACTTGAATTCTAGTAAAGTTTTACAACTTATGTTTTTCTGCATAAAATGAACACATTTGACTGAATAATTTTTTTATGAGATAAGGAACTGATTTAATCCAATCTTTGGTGAGAGCCTTTCATCATAACCGAAATGACTAAATCACGCCAATTACAACTTTTAGCCGCAACATAATAAGAGTGAATTGCTCATTGTAGTGAAAGCACTGTAATTAGATTTATAAACCACGTGATGCCGACTCAGTGTTCGAAAGATTACATCCTCATCTAGCGACTTGAGTTCGGTTGTCAGTATTATAGGCTTATGATTAAGTATATATTTCAAAGAATTCAAACGCCAACTTTCTGTAATGTAACCAGGTTCAATAATGATGAATTTCTTTCTACCTTTTATTCGATAAAAGACTGATAAGTATTTAATATTTTTTCTCGAGAAATACTTCACTTATGAGACGAAACAGAAACATTTATCATGTAATATGATGTTTAACTGATAACTACAAGTAAAAGAATCTAAATTATAAGTTCAGTGTAAATTTCTGGTTATGTATTATCTAATTTTAAGTAAACAGTATGATAGATACCAAAGCAGTATTTAAGTAACACTGATATTTCTAAAGCCAAACTTATTATTGTTGGTTGAGTACAGTATTCCATTTAAAACTTCTGAGTATTAATAATAATGTTCAAATCATTTTATTGAATTGCAATTTTAGGAACAATTCACCAGTAAGCTAATCTCAAGTGTTATTATTATTAATAAGCTGAAATCTAATATTCACCGTTCGATTGGTCTTCCTTAAAACTGATTAGTATAAATATTTGACAAATAGATTTATCAGGAATACTTAATCAAGCAGTAGTCTAAAGATTGAAATTTTCATATTTTATCTAATGTTAATGTATTAAACTGAATACTACCTACTATACATCCATTTTTATGATGGTTGTAAACTAGAATAACTAATAAATGGGATTTTGTATAATCTATATAATTAAAAAGCAAATCTTATTTAGGCTTAGAATGATTGATGAAAGGTAATATATTGATCATGAAATCTATATAACAACTGTTGTACAACAATTTTTTTGTTAGTTTTTACGATGAGTTAGTTTCAAATTAAACACTGGGAAAATAATTTATCATTAGAGGATATTATCTAACATATCTAACAAAGTAATAAACAATCAATTTCAGTTAGATGTATACAAATAAAACTTACAGTCTGTATTTCCACAATGTCATCAGTCCCTTCGGTAATGTTCACTGTTGTCATCACTACTGTTTTACTATTGTTACTGATATTGACAGTATCATTACTGAGATTTATTGGAGTTGTATTAAAAATTGCACTGATTTTCTCTTCCAGAACTTCACTTTGGAATATAAGCGGTCCAGCTATCACTGAATTCCATACAATACTGAGGCATAATAATTCTATGAATACTTTAAATTTATACATATATCTTATTGTATGTGCATTATATGAATAAACAGGTTGACAAATTCGAGACATGATAGCAGAAGTATGAAATTGTTGTAGTATCTATTAGTTAGTCCAGTTCCAAGTAAAAATTGAAATTGAAATTAACGAATAGGTAGTTCCAAATGATTATGTTAATGCTTTTTCTGATCATCAAACATCTAATGAAATTAACAATGTTTTTAATGTAATTAGACTAGTTAAATATTTCCTTTAAATATCAGCTGTTTTAAAAACTATTGTCTTATTTCCGAACCAACCAATCAGCAATGTCGAGAAATTTTGATTGGTTTACTGAGTCCATTCATCATTATGAACGCTAGCCAATCAGACGAGTCGGTCCAGCTTAGCAGACGTTTCCAACATGACGTTTTCGAGATATTTCTGGAAACAACTCACTGAAATCCTTAAAAATATTGGAAAATCATAAAATCTTCGTGATATAAAATTGTGGACATTAGCCATAATTCATGGTAGATATTTATACTACACAACAAAAGTTAATAAAAAAAACCTGAAACCTAGAAAGCTGGCGTGTTGATTTACTTGTTCATATCGTTTTCAGAACATTTTCTCAGTCAAAATAAAATCCAAAACTTCCTTAGTTTTAAACAATTTACTCTGATGGTTTTATGATCTTTTTCGAGTCTGTAGAATTATGATAGCAAACATCAGACAGAGTTTGAGTTGTAGTCAGCAAAGACAAAGATTCGAGCAGAAAAATGTAACTGATTGTTTTTGGTTATGTAAATCATTGAAGATAGGCTCGTTGATCTAGAGGTTAGGCATTCACACACGAACATGAAGATCCTGAGTTTATTCTACGAATAAAAGGTCGTAGAATGAACATTCCAGAGTAGTCCTATACTAGGACAAAACGGACGATCAGTGCTTTCAGATTTTCGATGAGTCGGTCAGTTCATGGCTTAGACAACGAAAGTTCTAAAATATCCACAAAACCTTTACATTGTTAAGGATGAAATCAGTTCACCATATTTCGTTAAGTTTTCGTCGGCTTCTTAAAACGTATAGGAATAAAATAAAGTGAATAAAATCAAAGTGTTGAAGTTAGGATTGCTTAAAAAATATAGTCTTGAATATTAAATCATCTACTGTTCCTTGACATTCGATAGTTATCTAAGCGTTTGTTAACGAATTAATGAATGATATACATTCATCTATCCAAAGTTTTCTTTGAATCAATTATTTGTATTCTTAGATATATACAGGTTTTATGTATTTGTCTATTTTGCATAATGATTCCTTATTGAATAGAATTTACCAGACAATAACCATTCATAATTTTGGTACATTGTTTAATTCTAAGGGTTTTCAGTCAGCATTCATTCGATTGACCGGGATCTAGTAAAATAGTGATCAATGTATTCCTGACTTGAATAAGTTCAGTAGTAGTTGATAAAGATTAACCTTACTATTTCCTAAATCCCTAAAAGTATTTCCCAATGGATTTGCTTTAAAACTGAAGTTCACAAATAATATAAATAAAATGATGCAACCATGTTTTCTGTACGAGATGTATCATAGATGATGCCACATGAAGACCATTTCATACTGTAAAACGACTGACATTGTGTACTTGAAAAACTAGCATTTTGACTAGATTTCCTAAAGTTAATATACTCCCCATTACATTTTATTTTCCTAGAATGGAATTTCCTTACAGTTGTTGGTGTATCCTTTTGAGGTATCCAAAACGAGCATAGAACAGTTGTCCATTAATTTATGATTTCTAGTGGGCTTTTGTTTTCACTAGTTTATCCAAGATAAAATGGGGAAACTGATTAAAATAATGAACACTTGTTACATGTTAAATGGAAATTATGAAATAATGAACACTGTTTTAATAATTCATTGAAGTAAAAGTTAACACATTGTCAAAAATATAATTATTCCAAGAAATAATGTTTTGAATAATAAATGGATGAAAATCATGAAAATTCTACCACAAGAAATGATACATTTTTCAAATTTTTGACCTTTGTTTATATTTCAGCAAACCTACTATCATATAACATGGTACTCATGTTTAACCCTTGTAAGCATACATTGGAAATTGAACGTTGCCACAATTTATGGACTAGGCGATTTTGTTTTCAAATCATTTTATTTTCAAAGTTAATACTATTTATTCACTGCTACGATTATCATTATTCAACTTTTATTGTAATTATTATTATTACTCTCATTGGATTTACCTATTGTTGCTGAGGCATTAAAATAACCATTCCTCTCACAACAGACATTGAAATAGTAAGTTGTTACTTGTGTATACTTACTTATTCAACTATAGTTATTATAATCAGTAGTGTTTTTTTTTTCGTTGTTTCTTTCTTCACTGATCACTTATATCTCTCTTCCTCTTTCAAACTTCTTATTTGATACCAACATTTATATCGGTAATAATAATAATAATAATAATAATCATAAAAGTAATAATAGTACTATTAGTGGTAGTAGTACTCACTGTTATTATTTTTAATAATCATAAATGTTGAATAAATTTATGATGGTTAATTTTATTATGGAAATATATTCAACTATAAAATGGCTGCGGTAAATCAAAGAGCAAGAGAAAAAAAACATCTTCATTAAGTTAGAGAATGCCGATCATCAGTTCAAAGGAAATCGGGAATTTCTACCCAAGCTACTTAACGGTATATCTATATTTATATATACATATATGTATATATGCATGCATACGCATGAATGCACGTACGTGTGTGTGTGTGTGCATGGGTTTGCATGTTTGTTTCACTAGGTATAATAACTAACATATGCATGTTGATACTAAGACGACTGATGTTAATAGCATGAATACTATTATCGTTATTATTATTATTATTATTATTATTACTACTACTACTACTACTACCACGACAACGACGGTTACCAATATATATATATAAGTATTAGTTTTCGTTTAAGCTTAAAACAAATTCTATCTGACTAGAAACAGTTACTCTTTATCGTTTTTGTCCTTTTAACTGTTAGCATGCATGCATACATACATAGAGACATACATACATACATACATACAAACATAAATAAATTTATACAAAAATACATTTCTATGTTGTGTCCTGCGCGTGCTCTTTCCTTTTTCCTTTTTTCAACGTTTTTATCTCACCTTGGCGCATTTCATGTTATTTATTGTGTTATTTTGTGCGAATAACCTACTACTACTACGACTACTACTACTACTACTACTACTACATACCAATTGAAATCATTCGTATATACATGTATGTATGTATATATAAAACAGAAGGCATGTGACTAGCTTGAAAGAAATAAAGCTTAAATTTAATATTTCTTTTCTGTAAACTGGTATCAAAAGTCTCAGTGTTTAACCCTATTTCACTTTAAAATCAACTTATATGAAGAGTTAGAGTTATTCAAGCTATATAATAGAGTTTATAAATTGCTTGTTGAAAAATTCAAATGTGTGATTATTTTCGGTAGTGTTTACTTTGTTTCTTATAGTCTATGCATATATATATATTCAGTTGATTTGAAAGAATAACTTGTAACCTAATGAACTATTAATTATAATAAATCTATGTTGATCTGTTGATGAATAACAAATTGTTTGACAAGTTTTCTACAATATATAAGTCAAAATCGTATAGATAAAATAATTTACAGTGGATGCACAAAATAGTGTATGCATTTATTTCTACGTTAATTAGCTTAACCAACTGCATGATGCGATCTATACGCAATAATCATTAGATATTTATACATAGAAGTGAGTAAACAATTAAAAACGAAAAATAATTTTTTTTATTTACAATAATATTGATATTCTTTGTTTACTGGATATAATCGTTACATAACAGAACACAGTTCTATGTCGAATCTGCTTTTCACACAGACAAAATCAGTATAAAATTTTGATTATCTTGACTAAATATATATAGAATTGTCATTACGGTAGTTTGCTTGTTGATGTGGAATTACGTCAAAATGCCAGTTTCTGTTTTTTTTTGTACTAAGTTTGAAGAAGTAAAGATTTTTAACAATTGACTATTGGCGAATTATTGGCGGGAGTTAATAATAGTTCTTTAGTGTCTGGAAAAGTTTTTTCTATGAACAGATCTACGTGATTCGTTTGTTCAACTTCCATTCCTTTTTCTATGTATAATATCATTCAAGTTTTTCATTTTTTGAATGAAGTAATGATGCAGTTAGAATTCAAAAAGCTACGAATTAAAAACAGAGTAATAACTGTCATTGATTTATACTGAATTTATTGTTTTCAAAAGACCTTTTTGTTACATTTTCATTAATTTTAGCATGTAATTCTGCAATTTATCGATCATTTACAAATGAATTTATTATGTACGTAAGTGCAAAATCATATCTTCATTACAATAATAAACATTAGGCAACCTATAAGAAGATAAGTGTTTCATTAAGTGAAATACTAACGTGAAGTATCAGTCCACCCATGATTTTTCGTTTTTTCACGCAAGCTGAGTTCATATATTTACTTGCTTATTTGAAATTCACCTCTCATTACACAAGGCAGAAAATAATTGAACTTAATGAACTAAATGGACAGTGTTATGGTGTTTGAGGTGAACAGTTCTTGGTTGAAGTCTCAGAGTGAACGTCAAATCAGAGGCGCAGTTATATCCGAGTCCGAGAGAGAATGAAACATACTTAAAAGCAACTTCATTTTGTTTTCCATTCATCTGATAAAAAGAGATTTTTGGTTATAATTCAGTATAATTTTAATGAAATACTTTATTTCAGGTCTAACGAGTTACTAACTTAGTGTACTTCATCAATGAAATCACACTACACTTTGCTGACATGCTTCTTACCGATGGTTATCGTTAACTTCAGATCATTAAAATTAAATCTTTGATCAGAATTCTCTCCTGACGTACAACAATCATCCATTAAATGAATTAGAAAATAAATACAGTCATTAGTGACAACCTAATAAACATCAAAACATTTTGAACAAAAGTCAGCTAATTAAAGAATTAGTTAAGTTTTAATAC